TATCTATCTATCTATTTATCTATCTATCTATCTATTTATCTATCTATCTATCTATTTATCTATTTATCTATCTATCTATCTATCTATCTATCTATCTATCTATCTATCTATCTATCCCCCATACATCTCGTATTGGTCAGGCTCTAGAAATGGCTACTTCAAACAGGATCAAATTGAAATAGATTTTATTTGACCTCTTCTCTCGTCAGATCCTGGCCCTGGTGTTCTCCTTGCTGATGTACTGTCAAATTCTGTGTGCTGAGAAGGACTTGGACTGACTGCAGACCAGCTGTTTACTGGCCCTTGATGGGAAAGCTCATCGCAAACTCCTCTGGGATCTCAAGACACCCGCAAAACCTGATCCAAACTTTCAAAAGCCCCAATCCAGTCTGTTGCTCCGCTGCTTACTGTGGTTTCAGACCTAACACGGGTGCCTTTCAAATGCTCTGAGGCATTGGCTTAAAAATGAATATTCCCCAAAAAGCAATTGTAACTCTAGCCAACCAAATCAGTGGGCAATCGACACTGGCAGTACAGACAAAGCCAGTATTGACAGACTCAGGAGGTTTGGTTGTACCAGCCATGAAATATAGTCATCATCACAGATCAGCTTTCACTTTACCACTGGAATTCATCAGCCTCCAGACAAAACAAATGCATTGCACCTGGAGAGTAACCTGAGGGGAAACACTGGCTCTACTGTCATCTCACAAGAGTATCTGTCTCTCCGTATTTTACAATATTTTGTTTCCAGAGTTCCTTATTTTAGAATTTTTGTCACGTATAGGAAATAATAGAGTGATATTTGTTATTAATTCTGCTCATCATATTTCTGTTTAATGAAACAACAAGGGATCATTCTCTTACTTAGCAGGGCTGTTACTCACCATTCCTAATTTCATTATCTGTCCAGGATGTCAAGAAGAGAGGACAAGAAGGAGAAGAAAATAACAAAACAGAACAAAAACTTCATACATAGCACGTTTCACTTTGTTAATATGTTCAAGCCTTGTTTATATTCCTAAACTATATGAGCACTTTGAACATTCCGTGAAGTTCAGTGACTTCCCAGCTTTAAGGTGCTCTTATTTCAATCCATCTCATCTAATCATCATAGCAACAAGATATTCATGGTAACTCGTTGTCATTCTTTATTGTCCTTATTTACCACACGAGTTTATCCAAGCTTGTCTTTTTTATTGTTGCATACTGTAACATTTTGTGTTTTAGCAAAAACTGTAAGATTATTTGCCATTAGTAAAGTATTATTGAGACTGTTTGGACATGTTCCATACCGATTTTTCTTGCAGTTTATGTTTTTCCAACACTGTGTGACGTATCTAAAGAAAGCAAAGCGTGTTTTCAGAGTCTCCAAAGAAGAAAAAAAGAGATGTGTTTGCCAGTGGAAGGCAGTGATACATTGGCAAAAGTCACACTTCCACACTCAACATAAGCAACAGCACACAGTTTAGTTCTGGCTGATATACTGTACCACTAAGCTGTTCCAGCTGTAACCAGCCACAACATGTGCTGTGACAACAAGCCTTACCTGAACCCTGTGGGCTCCACTAGCTCCACTCACAATCAGCAGTACTCCACTCTCCTCTTCTTCCTCTACTCTCTCTCTGACTTCTGCAGCTTAAATTACATACAGTCCCTTCTCTTGATGCTTGGCAACCAATCAAAATGCCACTATATTACTATCATTTCAGCTTAAAAGGCCGAGACCAGCCATGCATTTACCAAGTTACAAAGCTTCAAATAATGCTTTTGTGACCGGTAAGTAAGATCAGGTAAGATTTATTTATAAAGCGCTTTTCACAGACATTAGTTACAAAGTGCTTAACAGCAGCGGAATTACAAACATAAATTACATAATGTGACCATATAAGGGCCAATAATTTACATTTAAGAAAGCACAAAAAAACAGAAAGTACACAATTAAAACATGGCTTAAAAGCAGGCCTAGGGCATGAGTTTTACCCAAACACCAGTCTAAACAGGTGTCTTGACAGACAGAACACGACCCAATCAGCTTCCTGTGAGGAGCTACTGGCAACTCAAGTCGTGGCTTAGGTGTGCGTGTGTGGTATTTTCCGTTGTAAAATATAAATAAATGTTGCATTGATGAGTTGATGCCTTCTGTTCTTTCTCTAGTGTCAAAGTGAAACTGTAAATAAAAATGTAACTAATACTAAAATAAAATATTGAAATAGCAAAAGAACAGTTTCATTGAGGCCTACTGTTACCTAGCGATGCTCCGAGTTTAACTTGTATTCAGCCAGAATCAAATAAAGGGGTCCAAATGCTACTCCATCACTCTCCTGCTGGGCCTCGCGCCATGACGATACACCGACCCCTCCTGTGTGCTGTATCTCACTATCGCCACGGTAACAATTTCCTCTGACAGAGAGCAAATATAAATCATACAAAACATACTATGACATACTGTGTTTTTATTTTGGACAATACAAAACTTTTCACATTTCCTCACACTGTTTATCTTTAATTATGTTCAAACCTGGATGATGTAAACAATATGAAACAACCGGTCTACTGTGTAGCAAAAGATCTGTCAATGAATTAGACAGTAATCAAATGATTGAGATAGTACCTCTAACAAACATCAGTAAAAACATGAACATGGTGGTGTTCGTAAGGGAAGCTGCTGCAGGATCTTGTTCTCATCACTGCCTTAGCAACTCCTCCTGATTGATCCAGGTGCCTGGAGGCAGTATCGAACCTCTGTGAGCATCACGCCCAGTCAATGAAGCTGCTTAAAAAGGAAGGAAAATGCAAAGAAATAAAGAATACAGTACACTGCAAGTAAAAAGTGTTTTTCACAGGGATCTGCAATAAGGAAACCTGTAACTCTAACAGATGGAACTATCTCACTGAGATAACATTGTATTCTCTACCAGATTTAGAAGAAAAGTCAAAACATCCCTCTCGAACTGATCAACAGGTACTTTAATTAAATAATCTACACAGCTTGTATTCTGACCATGTAAAAACCGTAAAAACAAGAACCCCTGGTGAAAGTCCTTTCTGATGCCTAAATCCCAGATTGACATGAATCAAAGTGGCTTCTGGAATCTTGTCACAGTCCAGATGAGACGCTCTAGTAAGGTCCATCCGCCTCTCTTCACTTTGATGTTATTATCCAGAGCTCTGTGTTGACCAGCGGTTGGTTGGAACAAAAAGACGCCTGGAATCCGTCTCAGTCGTATTCTAGTGGCTCCTCCAAATGTACCGCATTCTCCTAAAGAAGAAGGTTGTGTGATAAGCATGAACAAAGTCAAATAAAGCTCAAAATATATTTTTCACTACTTGCATCTCAAAACCGTGGTGAAAAGTAGATTTTGAATGATGACATCAGATCATTTTATTTCACGTTATAGAGTGCAGCAGGGATTCGGTTTCTTATTTCAGCCAATGGGACTTTTCCAAGTTTTTTTTTAAATATTGCAGAGAATTTACTTTGTGGCAAACAAATTGAAGTGATACACACATTGTTCAGCAAGGTAATCGTCACAAATAAACACCACCTTTATGATTTTTGTAGCGTGAACACAATCAGCAGAAGTTAAAAGCTAACGTTAGGTTATAAAGGAAGTTCACGTCATGTGACCATGGTGCATTGTCTCAGCTAAGTTAAAGTCATGTCAAAGCTAAAGGCGGACTAGTGTTCTAGTAATGTTGTTTCGTGGTCTCATTTAGACACTTGTTAGCAACAGCCTTGAAGTATTTTATGTCGGAGAACAAAACGTTCAAATCTGTTCAGCTTGTGTTAACCACAGACCTGATTTCAGGCATCTAACCAAAAACACATACAAACACTTGAGGGAACCTGAAGTGCAAAAATGCTGAATTATGACTGGGTCTTAGGACTCATTCCTGCAGCACTCTAGTGCTCTTATATACTTTTCTAAGTTTGTGTAACTTTGCCACCAGAAATAGGTCTCTTAATGTATAGAGGTCAAGCAGGTTCCTGTGGTTGGCTGGAGCGAGGCCATCAGGATCCTCTGCTGTAGGACAGAAAGGGAGCTAAAGCACATGTGGTAGCACTTAAAACTTGAATTTTATGTGAACATTCTGCACTCCTATACTCACTATATAAAGATGGGTCTGAGTGTATTTATCAGCATTAGTCAACAGTGAGATTTGATTTAAGTGCCATCTTCTTCATCTGATCTAAAATGAACGAATCTCCTCTTATAAAATATAAAGGGTCCCATATTTCCTTGAATAAATCTTGTTTGTTTTACGGTATGTATGTAACGTTCTCTAATACCACACATGAAGCCATCGCCGTAATCTACTTATCAATGCGGTTTTTTATGCAAGTTTCCACTCATTACATGCATTGTGTCTTTTCCAAATAAACTTCCAACTGGGTTTACCTCGGTTGGAAGTTTACTTGGTTAGGTTTAGGAAAACATCAAGGTGTGGGTGTTTGCATGAAATGAGTAAGTTTCTTGGGTAACAAACATTAGTTGTTAGTTAAGTTCGTAAGTTACGCAAAAACACTTTGGTAACAAGTCAACGTCAATTTAGTTTCACATAGGACACTAACATCAGTGAAAGTCTTGTGTTGGTTTGACCCATCCATCCACCCGGACCTCCTTCCTACACAAACACTGTTCATGTGAATTACAGAGCACATCCCAGTACGTTATTGCAAAGCTGCCCTGCAGAGACACATTGGTCTCCTGTGACCATCTCCTTGTGAGGACTTGTAGGACTTGTAGGACTGTAGGACTGTGGTCCTACAAGTCCCAGGCTGCTGCTGGATATACATACCATTATACAGGGGAAGAAGGTGGATCAGGTTGTGATCTGGTCTTCCAAATGGAGGGAGGGCTATATCCTGACTGGAAACATTACGAATTGGCATGGGCTGTGCACAGCACAGGAGAGGAGGCTCTACAGTGGGTCCTTAAATCCCCCCAGGACATCACTGGTACCCATCTACTGAGCATCATTTTTTAATTGAGCCTGTGTCGCTAAACCACCATTGACCATTTAGTGGAGACTTAGCCCTAGCATCATAATAGCGCCACCTATGCTTCCCTCACTTTCCTGGAAGGCTTTTATTGTGGGAAATGTCCCACCCTTAGTCTTTCATGCAGGCCAGGGCAATTACTTGATGTTCGGTCCTTATGTGAATACTGGTCTCTGTATGAGAGATCTTTAATGGAATAATGGAAGATAAAAATGTTCTAATGTATCACTCACCCATCCTCCTTGGCTCTTGACCCAGGGGGCAAAGCTCTCCATATAGCACTCTGCATAGCCTTGCATGCGCTGGGCTCCTGTGGCTGTAACTATCCGCCGTGAAACCTCCATGGTGACAGCCATGCGGCGCAGCGTTGGACTAGCTGTTGGCAGCTGGACAGGTGCCCCGGATACCAGGCTGCTGCCGAAAGTGTCTAAAAGCTTGGAAAACGATGCATAGGAAAGTCGGGCCAGGCTGGAGCGTAGGAAGGGGTCCGACTCGATCTGTCAAAAGATTGCATTATGTAGCGCCAGTTTACACATGCATGCAGATGAACATACATGTAAGGAAGCTGCTTGTCTGCTTGTCTCGTTGCTGTGTTTCTATCAAGTCTGAGGCACGTGTAGGTTATCATGCTAGAAAAGTATAACTGCTGAGCAACAAAACCCAACTATGTCCACTATTGTGTGAAACACCACAGAGCAGCCCAAGTTAACTGCAGTTTAATGATGTTACTTTACAGAATTTGTGAGTCTAAAATCCCCTAAATGTAAAGTCTACTCTCAACACAAAGAGCTGCCAATGTTTGACAAATGGATAATTATGCACTTTATGATGAACCTACCTTAACGTTGATAGAATCTCCCTCCAAAGACAGCACCTGAGCAAGCTGCTGCACCACTGCATCTTTCTCAAAAACTGCGAAAAGAAAAGATGCAACACTTTCACAGTCAAAGTAAGTCCTGAGGCTCTCAGTCTGTCTATACCCTAGGCTAGTTCAGACTATAAAAAGGTCCACTACAGCGACCAGTGAGAAGACGAAATACAAACAAGGTAGTCCAGTTTGGAAAATAGATCCATGAGTGTAGTTATTTAGATGTAAACACTGCCCCCGACTGGTTTATAATGCATTATAAGCTAAGCTTTAAATAGTGCAAGGAACACATGTTTATCCACATCCATACATTGTGTTGTTATTGTCAAGGCATAACCTGTAACTCTGAAAACGTTTAATATGTAGTTATTTTGATAGTTACTTTTGAGAAGGATGTTTTTTTAACATGTTTCACACTAAATGTTTAGACCATGCCTTTAGTGATGTTGTTGTGTATTATGCGTATATTTAGTGTCCTCACTTAAATCTTTATTTATTTATTTAATCTTTGTACACTGTATTTTTCCAATGAAGTCAAAACCTGGTGATTGCTTACTGGAACCGTGTAAGCTCACTGTCTGGGCTATGAAGGCAAACACATGCTGAGGGTAGTAGAGAGTGTTAAAGTCCAAGTGAAACGGAAGTCAGAAGGTCTTTAGCTTCTGTTACAGTTTGTGATGTTTGATGAGTCATCCTGCTCTCAGGAGCTAAACATAACCCAATCAAATGAGCCGGGAGCTCGGCCTCTGCTCGGCAGCATGGAGGGAGGTCATCAGAGCAGAGCTTTCCTTCCACCTCTCCCTCGTCCTCCACCTCTCCCTCGTCCTCCTCCTCTCCCTCGTCCTCCTCTCCCTCGTCCTCCACCTCTCCCTCGTCCTCCTCCTCTCCCTCGTCCTCCTCCTCTCCCTCGTCCTCCACCTCTCCCTCGTCCTCCACCTCTCCCTCGTCCTCCTCCTCTCCCTCGTCCTCCTCCTCATCCTCTCCCTCGTCCTCCTCCTCTCCCTCGTCCTCCACCTCTCCCTCGTCCTCCACCTCTCCCTCCTCCTCCACCTCTCCCTCGTCGTCCTCCTCTCCCTCGTCCTCCTCCTCTCCCTCGTCCTCCTCCTCTCCCTCGTCCTCCTCCTCTCCCTCGTTGTCCTCCTCCTCTCCCTCGTCCTCCTCCTCGCTCTCGTCCTCCTCCTCTCCCTCGTCCTCCTCCTCTCCCTCGTCCTC